CTGAAAGTCTCCAACTATAAATGGCGTGAAGAGCATTGAATGAAGTATTGAATATACCAAGCTACCATCTGTAAAAATTTACTCTTGCATTCAATACTCTACTTTTCATTACTGAGCATCAGTGTTTATTATATATATTCTGTGAGAGAGTTTGTAATTTTTTTTACTCATTTCTATGAGTATCTCAAGAGTATGGACTCTTGAGGGGATTATAACCTTACGGGTAGTAAGGAGGAGTGATTGAGAGTGACTCAATTGCTGTATTGAGGCACTAAGAGCCCGTTTAATCTTGGGGAATTAGTGAAAATCTTAGAGGTGCTCTAAGGACTAGACGTAGGTCAAGTGGTTAAGACCGAACCAGTATAAACTGTTGTGTGATTCTTCTTCGATGAAATCCTTCTAAACTCATCTCCACTATTTTATCCGTTCATTTATTTTATTAAGTTAAATTTTTATATATCACCCAATTCACCCTCTCTTGGTTGAAACTGCCACTAACACAATATTTCCATTTATCCTTTAATCACACCTCCCATTATCTATCCCAAATCTTTTAGGGTTTTTTAAATCAAATTAATATTTTTAGAAGAGGCCTAGGATGTGTTTAGATTAGTGGTGATAAAAGTAGATTTTATTTTATCTAACTTTTACAAACTTAAGTTAAAGTAAAAGTCAATTTATATAATACGATTTATGTTTGGATGACTTTTATTAAAAAAAAGTTTGACAAGTTGAGATTGTTTAAATGAGTAATAAAAAAGTAAGTTTAGATATAAAATGATTAAAAAAAGCATAGTTTTGTTTCAGATATATAATGTATATAATTTGATAAATTAAAAAAATTTAAAACTAAAAGTATAAAAGTATAGAGTTAATGTATTATAGAAAAATTATAAATACCAAAAAATAATTAATTAGATACATTTAATGTAATTTTTGTACATATTGCTACTGAATACAGAGAACAAAAAATCAGACCGAATTGGCTGGTTTAACCAGTGAACCGACCAATGGTCCGATTTAGTTTGGATATTGAACTGGAGGGAGTTGAACGAATAACGAACTGATCAAATTGGTGTGAACCAGTGAAAACCCGATGTAAACCGGTAATAAACAGGTTTGAATGATTATACTGTTACTTGTCCTATTTTTTCTCATTCAGCTCCTAATATCCCAGCCCCTATACATTTAAATGAATTTTAATGATGATTTTGGTATCAATGATTATTAATTTTAGTTAATGATGAACCATAAAGATCAAAATTCTCAATGTTGTTATACTTTGTTATTGTTACAATCAAACTATTATTATATTTTCTTATATTTTGTTATTAGTAATTATTAATGTTGTTATATTTCGTTATTTTTAATTAAATTATATTATTTTAATATGACCGGTTAGATCCCAAGTTGACCTTGATCCAACCAACTGATCATTGAATCACTACCTCAACCGATTCAGTGTTTGGTCCTGTTTTTGTTCTTTGATTGAATATTATTTTTTCAGATTTTTAGAGCTCAATTAAAAATTAGTAATATATATCGATTGGGTTTGTAGTGTACTAGATCTCATGATTAAATTTTATTAGTCAAGGTTTTTCCTTCTTAGGATACCCTTGCAAATATTAAGTTATTGGGTTTTTTTTTTAGTGATTTTATCTTTTGTTTTTTCCTCAAATAATATAAGGGAGCCCTACTTTTGTCATTTTATCCATGCTTGTCTTCCCCTCTCTCCACGTTATTAATTGACCTTTTCTTCTAACATAGCAAAATCGAGCATTCCAATGCAACCACCTTTTCCTTCAGAAGTTGATTTCCCAGAAAGCCTACCAAACAACCCAAAAATTCTAAATGAGCTTCAAACTTTCGTTGTACAAATTCGTAGACATAGTTGGACCTTTAAATAGAGATCCAAATAGGTGCTTAGAAGTTAAGACTTATATTCAGAGTCATTTTATTGAGTAAATCAGATCATGAAATATAATCTTATTATAGGAATATAGAATCAAATCATAAAAGATAATATGATTTATGGGGATAATATTATGGACTTTTAAACTAAAAGATTAATCACCTTATAATAATACCAATAGGAGTTGGATCTATTGGAAGAGGTTAATCCTTCATAATGTGGCGACTAAAATTTGAATTTCTATTGAGAAAAGCATTTGCATTTAGTGCCAAAAAATGCTTTGAATAGCATTGCCGGAATTATTTGTGCCCAGTGAAAAAATTCCTAATATATCATCGATGATTAAATGACACCTAAAACACTAATTAATGACTCTTGGCTTATGACTTTAATAAAAAACAAAAATTAAAAAATAAATAGACAATTGATTTTCCAAACAAAATAAACAAACTTTAGTTGGAACTCTTAAGAAGCCTTATCTTGAGCCCATTAAGACGCTTCAAATAACTAGTCATGTTCATGACTTGCCATAGTATACTAGATCATGATTTGGGCCTAAATATGCAAGACTATAATCCAACATGCTTTCTTCAAACATATATTTGTATTTTGAGCCTTTAATATAATATGTTGGATTGTTTCAAAAACACATTGTAACTTCTTAAATATTACTATTTTCTTTTGGGTATTTCTCCATTTGACTAATCTCATGCAAAGTGATAGAGTTTCCCTCCAAATTTACATCAATTGACTTTTGTAATTAATGTATAGAGTATTTGTGACATTTCTTTGAAAACGCCATGCATACCATTGTGAAAACTTAGTTTGCAGAGATAAACATATCCCAAAAAATAGAAGTATCATGAAAAAGAAAATTCGATCCATAGAGACAGCTTGCTACTATGACTATTCAGAGGCGATTTGTCTGATCATTGAAAGAGATGATGACTTGCACGCTCATGCGAATTCGATCCAGGAATGCCGAGAACCGATGGTGCGAAACTAGAAATTAGTCTATGGGTTCGGCGAGAAGGGAATCTGAAGGCTGATGGACTGGCAAAATAAGGGTTGACATTAGCCCGTGGGCTTCACTCCTTTCCTCCTGAATCCATTGCAGTTTAGTTAGTGTTTTTGTCTTTTTTTCCTGTTATAAAAAAAATTTTAATATAGGAAACAAAATTAGCTAGATGAAATATTATATTTAGGATCAAATAAATTTTTTTAATTAAATTTAGTATACACGCACTAATAATGTAAGAACTCATTGCTATATTGGTTCAGTCACATATTATACTTCACTTTACACTTGTCCATGCATTACCTCTATGGTGTTTAAATGAGCTAAATTCTCTTTAGAATAATGTGTATATATTAACAGTTTTCTTATGAGTTATATGATCGGCTGATCGCTCAATTGGAAAAAAAAAAATCAAAATCCTTGTACGACCTATTTAAGTGATTAGTCCCTCCTTTTTTTTAATATATATAAGTGATAATTAATTGAATCACATTAATAAAAAATTAGTGAAAATTAGTTCGAGATAATAAATATGTAAAAAAAATATAATTTTTTTTAAAATATTACTTATGGCGGGGAGAAAGAGCAAGAGAGAGAATTTATTATCTAAACAATTTTCCTTGATAATAAATGCAATGATATTAATGTAATAAATTAAATGGGGTAAAATGAAAAATTAATAACAAAAATTAGAGACAACTAAATGTCCCTTGCAAATGGAAACAAGTCATATCCAAAAATTATTTTTTATAAAAAGAAACAGACAGAGCTTATGTAATTTCACCATCCCTCAATAAAGTTAGTAGGGCTGCACATGAGTAGGGTTGGGCAGGGCAGGACCCTTGCTCGATGCTCAGCTTGAAGAATGAACAAGCTGAAAAATGCAGCTCGCTGCCCGACCCTGCCCATAAAAAGCCTTATTAAGTTTGGGCTGGACAAATACGGGCTAGGCAAAGCGGGCTTCTATGTCCAACAAATCAATATACTATATTAATTAACTAATTATTTATCTTCCTCTAGATAATCTAATGTAACTTTATATTAAAATAGCAACTTGGCCTTAATTTTGTTATTATCAATTAATATACTATGGAACTATTTTTTGTAGTAGCTAGGAGGAGTGGACTATGACAAAAAATTGTTGTTTGTATATTTTATTAAACTTAATTATTTTTTTAGTTTCTAAGTCTCAAAGTCATTCAAAAATAAATAAGTATAATAAACAATGCAACAGTGCATTTGATTCAAGAAATAAATATAAGACAAATAAAATATATATAAATAAAATTATATATATTTTTGCGGGTAGGACCAAATGGACAGGGCAGCATAATATGCCCAATGCCCAGCCCTCAACAATTTGCCCAACCCGAACATGTTCAATAGTTCTTTCGGGCCTTTTTTTTTTAGGGCAGGTTGGATTTTTTTTTTTTACAGACTTAAGCAGGTATAGTAGGCAACCGGGTTTGATGTACACCCCTAAAAGTTAGCGTCCGCTTATTATGGGAAACACTTTGGACTGGACGCGCATGCAACAATATTCGTTTTTCTTTTTTTTTTTTTGTTGATCAAAGGCAAAATAATATTAAAAGAAAAGGAGAAGTCTGGAGAAGTAAGACAATACCGAACCGATAACCGCCATATAATACCTTCATGTTTTACACTGCCCTGTGCAACAGTTAAACCAATAACCTGCCAGCTAACATGCCTAGAGACCAAATTTGCACAATTGAATTGGATGGAGTCCCTGCCGATGCAAATAATCCCCAGTTTTTTGCATTAATGAAGAAGTCAGATTGCCCTTGCTGAGGATCCAGCTTACAAGCGGCGTGCGGTGGAGTCATCAGAGACTCAAATGCCGACTGGATCGTGGGTTTCCACAAGAATTTAGGTATATGCTCAACTCTGGAGGCAGAACTACAGGCAATACATGCGGGGCTCCAGCTAGGAAGAAACCTCTCAGCTGAACAGGTTTTGGTTTTCACAGATTCTATTGAAGCAGTTAATTTACTTATGAGAGATTATGTCGGGGAACACTCACAGAGAGACCTCATAACGAAGATAAGAGACATGGCTTTCGAGGAGAAAAGTGTTCAAATTCACCACACAAGTCGGACCCATATTAAGTGCGCTGATTTCATGGCCCGAGAAGGACATAGAGGATCAATGGGGATGGTGCTGAGATGGGAGATTCCTGATGGATGCAGGGAGATGTTTTTGGAAGACAAAACTTTGTGTCTGACTTCGGGTCTTTTGTAGGAGGCTTAGACTCCCCCTTTTCAAGCTTTTGCTTGCCTTTTCCACTGTAAAAAAAAAAAGGTAGCTCTGAAACATTGAGTCAGGAAAAAGATTGGGATCAATGTTCCAGTGCAATGTGAAATGTTGCAGCGGAATATTGGTTAAATAAGTTAAGTAGAGCCAAAAGTTAAAAATAAGAGAAGTTTAAGGGCAAAAGCATGTATAAGACTAAATGACGCATCAAAAGTATAATTATGGAAAAATTCTCAGAAGATCAAGAAAACTCAAGAAAAGTACCAAAAATTAGGAAAGATGTTCCTAATGTATTTTTGAGGCTAAGAGAAATTATTTAAGGTGAAAATGCCTCAAAAATAATTTATTTCTCGAAAAGCCTTTTTTTGGGGAAAACATTATAAAATATTATTTTTAGGCTTTGAAAAACTATTAAACGGTTTACTTCCGAAAAATGACTTAAAATAATTTCAAAGCTAATTTATGAGAAACAATCACTTATTTTCCTGAAAATTCAATTAAAAATAATTAGAGGTTTATTTTTAGTTTGAAATTTTAGAGATATCACTTTATAAGGTAAAGTACTTAATTAAGAAATAAAATCCTCATAAAGTATTAAATGTTAATTTTTGGGATTTGTTTGGTAAGTTGGTACAGATTAAAAAGGACAAAATAGCAATTTCACTGACCAAAGTTGAAAAAGGAAATTGGGCTAATGTCTTGCCCAATTTATAAGCTAAAATATTTTCCGCTTAAGCATGAAGATGAGTTTCACATTTTTGAGGACATGGGTCCAATAACTTAATTAGCGAACAGAGCTTATATGATAAGCTCTGTGGGTGTGACCAAGGGAGGAGAACAGTAAAAAAAAAAAAAAATTAATTCTCTTCTCCGTTGACAGCCACACGCACACTCTTCATTTCGCTCACTTTGCGGAACAGAGCAGAGTGAGGGAGAGGGTCTGAAGGACCAGAGGACATCGTGGAAGAAGGAGAGGCCACTGGTTTTGGGACAAGGGGTGAGTCTCAGAAAACTTCTCCCATCTTCATTTTCTTCAATGGTTGCTGATTGGGAATGATTGGTTGTGTTGGAAATCTTATTCTTGAGAGAATAAGTAGTGAAGAACAAGTAAAAGAAGTTAAGAAACCAAATGTAAATGATGAAATAGAGGTTTTGATGCTTGATTTTGTTACGTGCAAGCTGATCAGTGATGATTTGGAGCGTATTTCCAGACCTGGAAATTTCAGTGTTATGGGGCTGTCGTTTTATGTTCTTTTTTGTATTTTTGGTTTCGTTTTCCTGGAAACTATGAAGAGTGCCTTATGCTAGAAGCTTAATGGACCAAAATTTTGAGTCTAAATACTGATTAGAACCCTGCCAAACACTTTCAAACGTTAAACAAGTATCTTAGATGATTTAATCATTCATAAAGACTCTAAAATGATGGTTAAACATTATTCTTGAAGATGGAACAAAATTTCTGAATTTTGAAGGAAATAAGGGTACCCAAAAGCTAATAATGGACTTACATTGTAGTGTTGTATGATGTATGGGAAAGAATGCTTGCCAAACTTGGATTTGGACACCTGATTTTAAATCTGAAAATGTTCATTTTAAAATGGCTTGCTGTCTAAAGGAGTTTTGTTTGATTTTGATATGGAATTTGCATAGAATGTTGGAATGCTAAAATAGATTGGCTACATGAATGTTAGTACTGTATGGTGATAAGGTTTATGGAATTCAATTTTAATGTTGAGGATTTGAAAGGAAGGTACAGTTTAATGCTTCCAATATTAGGTAAGCATTTGAGATTGTTAAAAACATGTTTAGATATTCCAATGGAATGGCTAGAATAATATTGTTGAATCTGAAAAAAGAAATTCCAGAACCAAGCATAAAGCTTACCAGAATTTCTAGAGGGCTGTTTAAGTGTTCAAATGCTAAGAGATTAAATGGTTTAAGGCTATGTGTGGATGGAGGAAAAAGTAGAGGGAAAATAGAGGGTGGGAATACTAGGAAGGAAAGTTTTCCAAAAATAGTAAAAGAATTCACTATTTTTTGGGTTTTCTCTCCTAGTATTCTTTCCTCCCTAATTAATTTTCACCCCATCCAAAAATAGGATTAGTTAAGGGTTGGGGGGTTAAATACTGGAAATGTTTGAAATTTTGTGACTGAAAAGGGATAAAATGCCACTGTTTTGAGAAAGTACACTATGAAACAAGTGTCCTAAATTACCAAATCATACATAGGACATGCCTAAAGGTTTCTATATTATGCTTGATAGAAATGGAAGTGAAATAATCGATTCTTCCCTTACTCCCTGTTCGGACAGTGTTGTTTGGGCTGTGAGGGGTTTAATTTTTTTGAGCTTAATATGTTATGGAGTTAAGAAGGAGGAATAGTGTAGGTACAATAAAGACCAAGTTATGAGTTAAATCAAAAAAAAAAGAAGGATTTTTGGGGGGCTATGGGAAAGATTAATTATGCAAAAGAAATATATCAAAGTGTGTGAGAGTTAATGACTCCCTATATGTATAATTTATTTCATACGGTAGACTTAGGATGTAGCAGTTGGTGAGTGTTCAAATCGATAGTTTGAGTAGCAGGCGTAGGAAGTTTGATTAATCACATGATAGTTCTAGAGATTTTGACACTTCTCTTAATTGACCATTGTGTTAGCAATCTGAGATAGAAGATCTGTATCCACCAGGTAAATGATGGATCAAACTAATATTTGGAGCATGTCAGATCAAGATATGGAAACTGTAATTGATATGCTTAATTTTATGAAAATGTTGTGTGAATTAAGGAGCAGCTAAGACATCTATTTGATAGCGGTATGAAATTTCGATGTAAGAATGAGTCTGTAAGTTAAATATACACAGAGACACACGTATATGAAATGCAGCAAATTGAAATACTAAATAATGGAATATGATGAATTAACATATGTATAGTAAGTAGGCAGAGAAAGTAGGCTAGCTAACTTAGTTAAAACTTAATGTATTCTAACGGCATACACACTGACTAATTTGAATATTGATTTGGGTAACTTAATTTTATGGTTGTTCCTTATGCCATGACCTCTTCCTTAATATCTGTACAAATTTTATTGTAGCAGGAAAGTGGAGGAGACTTGTGTGATCTGAAAATGTGCATATGCAATCTGATGGTAAGTATTGCTTTATTGTCCAGAAGATTTTTACTTACTGTACTGTGTTATCAATGAGTAGAGGTAATAAAAACTTTGTTGTAGGCATATATAATTAGTAGGATAAAGCTTGTATGAGTAGGTAACACTTGAGTACATGAGCTGGATTTCAATATCTATGATTTCGAAGCTATAGTTATGACAGTATGCAAGTGATAATTCCTCTTCCAAGTTCCCGTTATGTTTTAAACCTAAAGTACTGTATATAATATCAAGAGTTGGGTGGTTTCAACCTGCGAATTAAAAAAGCTATACATAGAGGCAACAATTATTTAAAAAAAAAAAAAAATGAAATCTCAATTCAATGGAAGTAGAATCTTAATTTTTTTTTTTTTTTAAATCCAAGCTTCATTCATTTTTCATTATAGCAGTATGGCAGATTTTATCTGGTTGTTAAATATGACTGTTCCTAGAGTTGACCAGCACAATAAGCTTTGGTTGGACTGTATTATTGTGATATCAATGATGGTAGTTGGATGGTATAGTGAAAAGTCCCTTCTAGAGTTAATTTAAATCTACTAGAGTTGACTATTTACTGTTTCTAAACCATGTTAGTATCATGATGGATGGCAAAAATCTACTATGCTTCATCTTAGCAGATTAAAGAAATGAATAGTATTGCAGTATGTTTCTCTGTCATTTTCAACCTGAAGCATCATATGAGGATTCACACAAGCTTCTATTTTGAGATGGATGAAATTTTTATTCATGAGGATTCACACAAGCCTGATATTGATTCTTTTTGAGGCCGAAACCAAACGGTGAGGGAGATATTGGATACAAGGTTGTTTGTAAATCTGCTTCAACAATCTGTTAGAATCCCGAAATTAATTCACAACATTATTATGTATTGCAAGGTACTGAGTGATTTACACAAGTTAGGTATTTATAGTTTGTGGGCGACAAGAATTTTTATGTAGCCATGTGATGAAACTTGACATTTGCTATATGGTCCCTTATTTTCTGTGTGACGCAGATGAGCAAATGAATTTTAATATAAAAGTAGCTCATATACTTATTCTCAAATTAGGATTTTAGTTGATGCAAATGTGAGACTTATTTGTTTTGAAATGGCTAATATTCCTATTTCATATCCATACTGATATACAGTTGAGCATTATGGCAAAAATAATGCAGTGCAGTATATGTTTAGTTAGTATCCATGTAAACATGCAAGTAAATGGCTAATATTCCTGAACTCATTATGAAGTTGAATCACGGAATGTTACTGACACTATAATACCATCCTCATTTTCAGATTTGCTCTTACATTACTTTATTTTATGCACATTTTATGATGTCTAGTTATTGGGCTATTGTAATCGACATGTGTATATGCTGTAACTTGATGGAGGTTTATTTTTGAGGTTCAATCCTTCAAGTGATATGGGTGTGACTTTCTGTATAGATTGCATGAGTTAGTAACAGATTCGAAAGGGGAAGTCTGTAGGGTTCCAAGTCATTGTGAGCCCGTTTGTTGAAGAAAACTTTGGATCGTGTGGTCTGCATATTAACTATTTTCTTATATTTTTTGCTCAGGTATTTAATCTAGCAAGAGTGCTTTGATTGTGCTTTTTAATGAAACGGAATAATTAGGACCATGATACAAAAGTTATACTATTCGGTCGATCAATTTATTTCCAACCCAGTAATTGGCAGATATGTGATTGTTACTGCTAGTAATTTGGATTGATACATCAAGATGTTAAATAATGTTGCCTAACTGATTGAGACATCTACATGCATTAAATTACGTACTTTTGATTTTGAGTAAGATTAATTTTGCAGAGATGCTATTGCCTCTTTCATGTTTTGCTGGAATTTTTTCAGAACCAAAGTTGCGATCTGTATGGATAAGTAATGTAGAGGTTGTGAAAATATAAATTGCATGCATCTTGATTAGTAATTTAATGGCAAGGTAAGGTTTTAAAAAAAGTTAACTTTTTTATTGACTTAATTTAGTGAGTTTGAATTTATTGTTCATGCATTTTTACATTTCATTGTTGTAGTGGATTTTTTTGTGAGAATAAAATTTAGCAATATTAATATTCTTTCTCTGTTAATATTTATGAACTCTTTTGCCATAACAATTATTTATAATATGATGGACCCGGCCCCCTAATGGGCCAGGTATACGAGAGGAGACAGCCCAGGAACAAACACAATCTTGCAAGCCGGGTGCCAAGTAAGGAAGGGGGACCACCAGGAGACGGAGGGCGGACACGAGAAGGGGCCCACCAGGGATTAGGGTAGTGGAGAGACGATTATTTGGGGTGCTGTGCGGAGGAAAGGGTAGGAAGGATCATAGTGACTGGGGAGAGACCTGACCTCTCGAAGGTTAGGGAGGGATGTTATTCTGATTGCAGTTTTCTTTATCTTTTGAACTAGCCGGAACTAGGGTTAGTTGGCTACCATTTTCCATTTTTCCCTTTGATTTTCCCTGAAAAAGGGGTGTAGTTGACTATTGAAACCATTCAGGCAATAGAATCATCAGTTCCATCATCTTTGGTATCAGAGCGGGTCGACCCTGTGAATGGTGAGTACCAGAAGGATGGAAGCAAGACTGGAAATTGTGGAAAAGACAGTGAACGAGCTGCAGGGAGTGGGACGGGTGGTAAGCGAGTTGCAGAGGTCCAGTATGGAAGCGAGGGAAGAACGATCCTTAATGCAAAGGACCATTGTTCAGCTACAGGAGCAAAATGCAAACATTCTTCGTATACTGAACCAGAGATTACCCGAGACCCCTCATGAGGGTCACCGAGAAGTAAGGACACTAGAAGGAGAGACGGAACGTATAGGAGAGGATCGAGGGGGAGATGACTGTAACAGGGGTGAACAAATCCCAGAGATGGAAGTAGGGAGGACTCATATGAACAGAGAGATGGAGGTGTTGGGAGAGAAGGAAGTACAAAAGTACCGTCGTATAGAAATGCCACTATTCGATGGGGAGGATCCTATAGGCTAGACCTTTCGGATAGAGCGTTACTTCGTCGTCAATGGAGTTCCGAAGACTGAAAAACTCAACGCTGCCGTGGTGGGACTGGAGGGAAAAGCATTGAACTGGTTCCAGTGGACGGAGATGCAAGCGCTGATAGCAAGTTGGAGGGAGTTAAAGCGGAGTGTGGTTAAACGTTTCCACCAGTCGCACACTAGGAACAACCACGAGAGACTCGTTGATTTGAAGCAGACGGGGACGGTTGTTGAATATAGGGAGACGTTTGAGATGATTTCGGCAACCCTTGATGACGTGTCCGAAGCTTCACTAATGGGCATGTTCATGAGTGGGCTTAAAGAAGAGGTGAAGGCTGATGTGTGGGTGTTAAAGCCCAATCGACTGGAGGACCTAATGGACATAGCAACGGAGATTGAAGGCTGAAACTTGACGTTGGAGAAGGCCAAGCAGAAAAAGGAGTCCAAGCTGTATCAGAAGGAAAACCCGAGGACTTGGGCACCCCCGTTGGCACTCCCACCTAAATTCTTAGCTTTCTCGGAAAATCCCAAGAGCCTTGCTCCGTCATCAAGGACGCGAGTCACTAGCAATCGTGGACTTGACACCTCCAAGGATGCTAGTAACCAAGCTGCGACACCTAGCGCATTACTAGCGCATTACCCAGCACTGGAAGCAGCAACCACCGGGGGAATAAAAGACTCTTTGAGGCAGAGATAAACCGCCGAAGAGAGAAGGGTCTGTGTTTTAAGTGTGAAGAAAAATTGGGTCCCACTCACAAGTGCAAATCCAAGCAGCTCCAAGTGATGGTCGTTGACGAGGAGGAAGGAGGAGAGATTCGAGAGTGCGATTTTGAGGAACTAGAGAAGGATGAGATTGAGAAGGAGTATTCCACCACGGAACTCTCCCAAGCGACAGTGTTGGGCATTTCGAGCTACAAGACCTTGAAGATGAAGGGAACTGTCAACGGAAGGCCTGTAGTTGTCTTGATTGATAGTGGGGCCACCCATAATTTCATCGCACGACACATGGTGACAGAATTTGGGTTGGAGGTGACACCTACTCCGACTCACTCTGTGGCTGTGGGGGATGGGAGACGTGTATATGAGAATGGAAAATGCTAAAGGTTGAAGTTGGAGTTGCAGGGATTGAACGTTACGCAAACATTCTCTCCGTTTCCCCTGGCTAATATTGATCTGGTGCTCGGTGTAGCTTGGCTCGAGTCCCTTGGAGAGGTGCGATTAAATTGGGGACAACTCTACATGAAGGTTAAATCAGGGAGCGAGTGGGTATGTTTGCGAGGAGACCCCATGTTGACACACATGCAAGCGTCTTACAAGGCTTGCCGAAGGGCACTGAAAGGGAAGTTTGAAGGGTATTTATTGGAAATCAACGTGATGGGCTTGCATCCGGAAAGGGAGCTTGAAAATGGGACCCGAACTCCAAAAATTCAACAGCTCCTGGATAAGTATAGTGAGGTGTGCCAAGCTGTGACCAAACTACCACCATACCGAACCCAAGATCATGCCATCATGCTTAAAGAGGGGGCACAGGTATCATTTGACCAAGCAGCAGCCCTTTCTCAAGTCCGGTATTACTAGTTAGGAAAAAAGACAGTAGCTAGAGATTCTGCGTGGACTATACGGCCCTGAACCGAGTTACAATACCTGATAAATACTCTATCCCAACAGTTGATGAGCTATTGGATGAATTGGGAGGTGCTACAGTTTTCTCCAAGCTGGATCTCAAGGCGCGGTACCATCAGATCTGAATCAAGACTAGGGACGAGCACAAAACCGCCTTTAGGATGCACAATGGGCACTATGAATTCCTGGTTATGCCCTTTGGGCTCACAAATGCACCTTCTACCTTTCAGTCTTTGATGAATGACATTTTTCGTGATTATTTGAGGAAATTCATTCTGGTGTTCTTTGATGACATACTTGTGTATAGTAGGGATATGGAATCACGTATGGAGCACTTAGAGACTGCACTCAGAATTCTCCAGCAACACCAACTCGTTATTAATGTAAAAGAATGTAGCTTCGGCCAACAACAACTAGAATACTTGGGGCACATCATCATGGGTGGGGGAGTGAAGGCTGACCCTGCTAAAATAGAAGCCATGGTTTCTTGGCCAATGCCTAAAGACATAAAGAGTTTGAGAGGGTTTCTAGGTCTCACTGGATACTACCGAGATTTCATAAGGGACTACGGAAAGATAGCAGCTCCCTTGATAGCCTTACTGAAGAAGAACGCTTTCAAGTGGGGAGACCAGGCTCAAACAGCTTTTGAGACACTCAAATCTGCCATGACTAATGCACCAGTGTTGGCCATGCCAGATTTTAAAATGCCATTTGAAATAGAAGCTGACGCGTGTAGAGTAGGAGTCGGTGCTGTGCTTACGCAACAAGGGCGACCTATTGCCTATTTCAGCCAACAACTGTCCAAAAAAGCTCAGCAAGGATCAATCTATGAGAAGGAATTAATGGCCATTGTTCTCGCCATCAAAAAGTGGCAGCACTACTTGACAGTTCAACCCTTCATTATCAAGATTGACCAAAAGGCCCTGAGGTATTTACTAGAGCAGCGTGTAATGGACCCCGACCAGAAGAAGTGGATTTCTAAGTTGATGGGATATAGATTCGAGATCCAGTATAAACCAGGAAAAGAAAATCGGACGGCTGATGCTCTATCTCGAAAAGAAGTACCGAACTTGTCCCTTAATTCATTTTCCCTATGGCAATACGCTGGAGTAGAAGACTTCGAATCTGAGGTGACTAAGGATCCAAAACTGAATGAGCTCAGGCAAAAGATATTATTGGGGACCAACATACCTGTGGGATACTCTCTCAAGAATGGCTGCCTCGTACAATGGTTGATTGGTCCTACCCAGGAGTTCTCCCAAGACTGAGGGATTAATTAAGGAGTTTCATAACTCTTTGATCAGAGGGCACTCGGGGTACTTGAGGACTTATAAGAGAATGGCAGACGTGGTGTTCTGGGAAGGTATAAAGAAGGATATACAAGACTATGTGGCCAAATGTGAAACCTGCTAGCGAAATAAATATGCAGCCACAAGTCCAGCGGGCCTATTGCAACCCTTACCAGTTCCGCAACAGGTTTGGGAAGATATAAGCATGGATTTTATCATAGGCATGCCTAGGGCTCATCGATATGATACCATCATGGTGGTGGTGGATAGACTCACCAAGTATGCTCACTTTATTCCTCTCTTACACCCTTTCACCGCCAAGGATGTAGCCGAGAGATTTATTGTAGAAATAGTGAAACTGCATGGGTTCCCAAAATCAATAGTCTCTGACAGAGACCGAGTCTTCATAAGCCAGTTCTGGAAGGAATCATTCACTCAGTCAGGGACTACTCTTAAGTATAGCTTTGGCTACCACCCCCAAACCAACAGCCAAACTGAGGTGGTGAACCGGGGCCTTGAGACTTATTTAAGGTGCTTTGCAGGAGAAAGTCCTAAGAAGTGGGTTCAGATGCTGCCATGGGCTGAATTTTGGTTTAATACAACCTATAACAGATCTTTGGGAGCCACACCTTTTAAGGCCTTATATAGGAGGGATCCTCCCTCCTTTTTCAAGTGGAAGGATGATGATTCGCTGGTAGAAGAAGTTAAAACTCAGCTGCAGGAGAGGAATGAAGCCCTACAAAGACTCAAATACCATCTTGAACAGACGCAAGCCAGAATGAAGGAACAAGCTAACAAGAAAAGAAGAGATGTTGAGTTCTAGGTCGGTGACAAAGTCTACCTGAGGATACAACCTTATAAGCTCAAGAAATTGGCCAAGAGGCAAAATGAGAAACGGGCACCAAGATTCTGTGGGCCTTATGGAGTCTTACAGAGGGTCAGGAAGGTTGCGTATAAGCTGAAATTACCTGCGGATGCTTGGGTTCGCCCCACCTTTCACGTTTCACAGTTAAAGTGGTCACTCTTATCTACGGTGACTGCACAAACCCTGCCTAGTTTCTTGACCGAAGACTATGAGTTACAGGTTCAACCTGAGAAGGTCCTCAAGACACGAAAAATGATAGATAGCAGTACCCAGGTCCTAATCAAGTGGCAATCACTACTGGAATGCGACAGCACATGGGAAGACAGGGCCCTTATTAATGCGTAGTTTCCAGAATTCCACCTTGTCCTCAAGGTGAGACTTTTAGGGGAAGGCAATGATGGACCCGGCCCATTAGGAGAGGAGACAGCCCAGGAACAAACACAATCCTGCAAGCCGGGTGCCAAGTAAGGAAGGGGGACCACCAGGAGACAGAAGGCGGACACGAGAAGGGGCCCACCAAGGATCAGGGTAGTGGAGAGACGATTATCTGGGGTGCTGTGCGGAGGAAAGGGTAGGAAGGATCATAGTGACTGGGGAGAGACCTGAACTCTCGAAGGTTAGGGAGGGATGTTATTCTGATTGCGGTTTTCTTTATCTTTTGAACTAGCGGGAACTAG